CCTTTTAAACATAAAAATAATGAAGAAAACAATGTTTCTAGCAAGTGTTGTAATGTTAATAACCTTATGCTATCTAAGATCTCTAATGAGTCACGTTTTCCCTTTCTGCGGCGTTCTCGCCGCGAATCTAATCCCCGCAGGATCTACGGCTTTCCCGATGACACGCCAAGCTCACCTAAGCTCTGGACGAAGCCTTAATTGTTTATCCGAGGGAAAAAGAGTACACCCTAAGCGTGCGCAGAGAGACGGGTATAATAATTAGAATTTACGCGTGTACGGCAGAAAGCAGGTTTCGCCCGGCCGTAATTTCTCTCGCCGCGAAGTCCGTCGGACAATTCGATCGGAATAAATCGCGACTGCGTGACCACGGGGAGCCGCAGCAACAACGCGACGCGCGGAAGGGTCGCTGAACCTTTATTACGCGCGGCAGCAATTTCTATTTTATGGCGCATAAGCTCGATCGAAGCGACGCTTGATTGCTCAGCCGAATAACGCGCCGGGCGTTACGACAATAGCGTCGGGATTAACATGGCGTTAGCGTGCGCGGCCGGTTCTTAAATGTCGATGAGAGAGCTTTTTTTCATCGATCATATTCGCGAAAGAGAGAGAGAGAAAGTGAAAGAGCGACGACGCTTGGGAGCTCCGCGGATAAAATTAATATCGGCCGTCGTAACGTCCGAATACTGGGCTCCGTGGCTGTCTAATGGGAAAGTTTTGATGAGATTACGAAGTACGGCGGCGGGATGGGGCAGAGGAGATACTAAAATATATAACTCGAAACTTTAATATCGGGGTTTATTGATTAGTAATACGGGGTTACGGCAGCGTTATTCACGCGCGTCCTAAGCATCTCTCGATCGCGCGAGATACCGGGTCCAAACCATTTGATCGGAAAGCCCGAGATGCCCGGATTCGAGGAACTCTAATCGAGAGGAGAGTTCAGCAGCCGCTGTTTAAAAAGTCAGCGTTTTCGCGATAGCTTGAAATCGGCGGCGTGACGCGATAAATCAGCCCGCTTTTTCGGTCAAAGGATTCGAGGTGCTCTTCGCTCCCCGTTCTCGTGCGGAGGGCGCGCGTAATAAGGGTGCGCCTTTCTCTCTCTTGCCCTCCCGCTTGCGTGCTGCCATCGTCGAATTTCCACTTTCCGGGAGAGACAACGTGTCTCGCCCCCGGATTCTCACCCTCTCTCGTTCTCTCCTCGTACGCAGATGCGTGGTTTTCACTCTCCCTTCCCAACCATCGCTGTTTTACTCTCGATTCCTCTCTCCCCCTGCGAACAACACCCGTTCGTTCTCTCTCTTTGCTCTGTTCGTTCAAAGCTCGCTGCTTCCTTTGCACGCGGACCAGAAGAGACCCTTGTGTAACGAATCCGCGCTTTTTTCGCCCTTTTTTCCGAACGAAAATATCCACTTTTCGGGGTGAAAAGCGTGCGCACGCACGCGTTCCGGAGCAACTCGAAGACAGAGAAGGAGAGATGCGATGAAAAAGTGCCGTAGGCATGTTCATACGAGAGAAGAAGGGCGGAAGAGAAAGAGAGAGAGAGACGAGCAGACTGCTAGATTTGAAAAAAAGTGGTTAAAAATATGTAAACCGACATCCGCGAGATCGGTAACACGTGGAGAGAGGAAATACAGAAGGGGGAGACAATGTGTCGTCGGCACGCGCTCTCTTCTCGTCGCCGTTGTCATTGCCTCTCGGTGCCTGCCGGTATCGAGGATGTCCTGAGAGAGGAGGCCTCCCGCGAGACAAGGCGATCGAGAGCCGATATTTGTCTCTTCTTCCGAGGATAAACACAGAGACATGGCCTGTTCCGCAGGAAACGGAATTTTATCCTTCTTACGTTTCGCTCAATTTCCGCCAGCGCGGTCATAGTTTTACTCCCCGCGTTATCGCGAGAGGGAAACAAGATATATAATAATAATATATAATAAACGGTACATAACAATAATTTCTGTGTACTCGCGAATCCGGAAGCGATGGTAAAGAAATCTACAGTTTCGGGTAAAATAATGGAAGGGGAGAAGGAGGGGGTGAGCGGCTAAAAGCGTACGAAAGCGTTTCGGTCTTCGAGCGACGTCGTTACTAATTATCGGAATTAGCGGCGCTTATTTGTTACGTAGAGCGTGGGAGGGTAGGGATTAGGGGGCTTTTAGAATGTTTTGAGACTCGGAAGGTGTGCACGAGTGAGAAAGAGAGGACAGGACTTTATAGCGGGCGTGGCGGGCTCCTCTCGCGGAGGCGTTCGAGTATTTTTAGTTGTTTGATGCCGGCACGCGCCGCTTTTTTAACGACGCGCGGAAGCATCTGCCCTCGTTTAATGTCTCCCCGATCCACACACGCCCGGCCGGCGCACTTTGTTGCCCGCGAGCACGCGCGCGGGCACGCGCGGCGGTTTATTGTCTACGCTGGAAAATGGGATTGAGTTACTCGCTTGTGTCTCGGGGAAAAAGCGCCGCTGGTAACGTTTCCTTCGCGCCGCGTGTTGCTTTCCCGACCTTTCAGGAGCCGCCCGGCGGGACGCGGGAGGAAAGCGTTCGGATCGCCCCGGTAGTTAATTTGTCGAGTCAAACGAGACGACGCTTTTTCTTTCTCCCTTCGTCGTTCTCTCTCCCCTCTTCGTTAATAATGCTAAGCGCGCAGAAATAAAATGACGATATTCATCATGAAATTAGCAAAGAGGGTTGCCAATAACGACAAGAGTCCGTGCGAAATGAGAGTTGCAACTCGAGTATCGCTTCTTGAGAGCGGTTCTCCGAGGCGGACGCCGCAAAGATCCGTAAGATTCCGCAAGTTCCTTGTATTATCGAAACGCTCGATGAAGGAGCGAAGACGATATTTAACTACGGCCGCTTCGGCGGAACAAGTTCACTCGGCATAATCGTCCTCGATGACGATCGTGTCCTGATAATTGTCCCGATCGATGGCTTTCCTTTGCGAGGAGGAGGCCAATTATCGTCAATAGAGTTGCCAAAGAGCTGCACGGAAGGGCTGTCTCCTGTTTCCAGCCATCTTAATTCATGACGTCAGAAGCGAGGGAACCTGCGCTCATAATTCTTGCGAGAGTAGATTATTTCATTTCAACGAGGCAAAATTTCTCTCGAAATATTTTCGGAAAAGATTGCAAGTTGATCTATGCTCGCGAAGGGGAAGGTATTCTTCCGTCCATACCCGGGGTGCAGCGTCATTTCGTCACGGGGCGACTGTCTCGCATATGCGATCCATAAAGAGGCGGCCGATATTTTTATTGCCGTGCAGCTTGCTGGATTGGCCGGCCCCGACGACGCCTTTCGCGTTAATGCGAGCGGCCGCGCGGAATCTCATTCGCGCCAGGCGCGTAATAAATTCCCCGTCGGCTATCATAGATTTATCATAGTCACGCACTCGTGGCCGGCCGTCGATAATTGCCGGATTGTGGTCCTCGGCCGGCGGAGGAGGGTTTGTCGTCGACGACGAGCGCCACGAGGGTGAGAAAAATAACGATTCGGAGCATTTTTCAGGGGGCGCGAAAGAGGGCTGTCGTTCACGAGGGAGAGAGCGCGACGATGGATTTTCGCTCGTACGTGACTCCCGAATCGTCGCACCTGCGAAAGAAAGAAAGACGTTCGCTTTAAGTAGTCGATCCACTGTTAATCCGCTGTCAACGACGCGTCTTGATTCGTCAGATTATAAAAGGGGGATGAAAAACGACAAGGTAGAAAGTGGCGGAATAGCATTGTTACTTGGACAAATGAATATTGAGAAACGAAGGAGGGATGGTGCGGAATATAACGTTTTCATTAGGTAAGAAATTAAGTCGTCGCGCGAAACTAGAATGCCTCTCTTTCTCTCTCCCTCTGTAGGATCATAGATCTTCTTAATCACCCTGGCAAACTCGGCACCCCTCATGTTAGGACTGCAATTGCACCCCCGTGCTTTTATTTCCGTGTGATTCGTCTTTGCTCCGAGCGAGCGAAGCGTGAGATTAAACATTGCCGGAACAACGTACAGATCGGTTGTTCGATGCATACGACATTACATTAACAATAATAAATTGACTGACCAAATATTTCAGGTATTTTCTCCCAAGTATTCTTCGTCGAGAAAGGAAAGACAGTAAGAATGACAATCGCGGTGTCGTGGAAAATGTTGATTTCTTTCCCGACCGTTTAAACGCTGCGCGATCTGTCAAGAAGGAATTCAGCGGTGTATATACGCGCGGCGTATCGTGAAAACGCGGCAGTGGACAAACAGGATTTCTCGGCCGAATGACGTATCGAATTTTATGCCAACAAAACTTCCGGCCGTACTTTTGTCCAACTGGCCGCGACGGCGGCGATATAAACGCACCATAGGCTCTGACGAAAAGCACCGTGGCATCCTCCCGGTGGCAGCCCTTTTGTCGCTCACAAAAGAGTTGACAAAACATGACAATCACAACGGTCATAAGTCTCATAACCGACGCGGGAGGAGCGCTCGAGAGAACTCCGCCGACAGTGTCGGGACCGACGCGGACAAATATTATTTTGACAATCGAGACGAAGAGCTCGGTCGAGCATAATCCACCCTTCGGGGCTTATCGCGGAAATTACGGAGGAGGATTAAGCGAACGTGGCTCTTCGATTGCGTGGTTGTCGGTGACCGATATTAAGTCGGAAGAAAAAAAACTTTCGGAGAGTTTATACTTAGAATCGTACGCTAACTAGAATCTGTGTAGATACACGAATCTATCATTATTTTGGGAAATTCCAAGAAGTTTTCGGTGCGGGTAGTTTGCGCGAAAATTTCGCGAGAGACTCCTCAGGTAGACGCGAATGAAAACGCGCGATGGACACGTTAAAAGCTTTCTTTACGAGGTCGTAACGAGGATCATGGCCCGCGTTTCGCGACGACGCGATCATAAACCGCATAATGTTGTCGGAGCGAGCGAGCGAGCGAGCAACGCAACTCACCTCACCGCACAGCTACACTTCGCCTCGCACCCCCGTTCCGCCATGACGACATAAAACATTTTTGATATACAGGATAGGGTGGCGAAATGGGATCTCCCCGAGTTCCTACCGATGACGGCCATTACCTTTCGACGGAGTAACGAGACTCGCATCGACGCGACGAAGCTAATAAAGATTACCATCGAATTCTGCAGCATAGCACGGTACGGTTACGCCAATTTGAAAGTGAGTTATTTTCAAGTTGACTTAAAGAATTGTCTATTTTTACAATCAGCACCCAGAAAAACACTCCAACCCCTCGTTACGCAGAGTCGCTTTCTTACGTAGCTTACTCTTAACTCTTACTTTTTACCAAGTTTTTAAAACTTTTTTTTAGGATTCGCTTGCGTTCCTTCCATATATTGTATGTATGCAAGGTAACAATTAAGTTGTCCAAGCAAACATAACTGCGACACCGTTACTAACGAAAAAATATAACGTCCTTGCTAAGTCGTAACAAAATGTAACCGTAACAGAGTTACATTCCAAACCTGAATCTGGGTCAAAGCGTCATTTTTAAGTAAAAATGTTTTTTCCAGCGGACGAGGCCGAGCGGATCAACATTTTTCCTACTTTTTGTCGTTCTCACTGACCTTAAAAAAAAGAGGCCTGGGCGAAAGAACCGTTGAATGCGTAAGAAGTCGACTCTGCGTAACGAGGGGTTAGAAATGTGAGCCGAGTGTTTCTGGAGCACAATGGGTGCTACGTGCTGATTGTAAAAAATAGTGCACAGTGTTAAACGACACTTTCCCGGTCCCGTCTAACTCTATATTCGCTTTTAACACAAGGTCACTAAAAAATAGACTAAAATAGCTGATCTGGAGGATCACAGGGTTGTAAACTGACCTGAGATAACCTGTTTTACTCGTTTCTTCTATCTCTTCTAACGGTACATTGTTCGCCTATTTATAGCTTTCACACGCATACAAACGGTATATTATCTCTTTATTACATTATCGTAATGCTAATCGTGAGAAAATAAACACAGCATTGCAGAATGTGGCGATTATATGTAATTACCGGATAATAAATAAATAAAACAGATTTATTTGGTGCGCTCGGTATGCCGAATGATTGAAAGCGGATCAGATACGTAAATGGAGAATGGAAGAGGACCGAATCCTGAGGCGTAACAACGGACCACCCTGCACGAATGTCGATTTAACAAACGAGCTGTATGTGCGTGCGTGTCTCCGGCAAATTGTCGGGGATATTTTTGACGTGCGGTGACGCAATCCGAAAATATCGTTTTTGGTGCATCGAAATCACACTCAATCGCGCCGAAGTGACGCGTTTCCCGATGGTTCGTGGTAACACATGCCAAGGACACGGATATGAATCGGAAACGCCGCCATATGTTTTAATTTGCGCTCTGATCTTGAGATGCGTGTTTCGCGCGTGAGACGCATAAAAAGTCGTCCCGGCTTACTCTCACTGGGGCTTCCTCTCGCTGTATAAGCGGCGCGCGTTCTCGATACCACCGGGATATCTCGGTAAGCCGTAAACCAAACAGGACTAGCCGGTAAACCACTCGGGGTGGCGTTATCTGTTTGCGAGCGCAATACGCGTCGAGATCGACTGGAGCTGGCTTGGCTTGCGTGTGTGCGTGCGTCTACCGAAATGATAATATTGCGACAAGGCTGCACAATATTTGCGTGTTCGCGACCGTCGGGTTTAAGATCCGTCTTTGTCTGGCGAAGAAAAAAATTCAAGTCTTATTATGAAATAAACTTACAAATAAGTTTTTAAGTAAGTAAATAACTTAAAGTACTTTTTTCCCACTGTATTTGATGCTTTAGACTTTTAATCGATTGAGCATATTTGCAAAATATTCCAGAAACTTTACTTTTCTTCTGGTAAGTAGCAAAAGAGATAGTTGAAACAAGTATAAATATTGTTTTGCATTATATATTAATCTATGCGTCAGTATTTTTCAGGTCAGTTAAAATGACATCTCACAAGCACGAATTGACTTTGTACTGGAAATTCGCCAGACCAGGTAGTACGTCGAGGCCAATAAACCCGTTTATAAATAATATATATCACTCTCTATTAAGCACAGGGTGGACTTCACTAACAGTATAGAAATTAATCTTCTTGAACACTTTCCTTTTAGACCCATAAAAAATGGCAATTGCCACAAAGCAGAATTTAAAAAAGTCAAACGTAAAAGTTACCTCATTCCACTGACCCATATAATCAGATTTTCTCAAGGTTAAAAAATACGAGAAATTAGCCTAGAGTCTCTTTTTATTGCATTTTCCATGAATTTTATGTAATACAAAGGCATTAAAACTGTATTTAAAAAACCACCATCCAACACTCACAGTGATGACAATAAGATTTTTATTCACTTTCAACTAAATTATAACCACTAGCTATCTCAAAATAAAAATTGTATCAAACATGTCCTTGAAAAAAGGAGAAATCAACTCTAATGTGACTAATGTGGGCATATTTGTTGGCATTTCGCATTTTAAAATATCTGTATGGAGCAAATAAATACAAACCGTTATGTTAAAGGAAAACCTGTACAATAAAATTCCATAGTAACTGCAGTCTCATCGAAAAGAAAGAAAGTACTTTCTCACGCGTTCGGCTTCGTATTATTAATTCTTTAAGCCTTTCTCACGCTGCGACATCAGGTCTCAGGGGATGTCGGACAAAACGGAGACATGATTTGCCAAATTGAAAAGGTTCAAAAAATCTTACAAAACGATTATTTTATGGAAAAATGTCGAGAACCCGTTAAATCATTAATCATTGACACTTTCGACCGAGTTATGACAAATCGTCCGTTCGTCGCGACGAAGAAAGTGTATTTCAAGTCACAAAACGGTGAAACGCTGAACATTCCTCAACGAAGAGTGAGGAACCTACGAAATGCAGAGGATATTCTCGCGAGGATATAAACTCTACGACGTGGTCGTTACCATGAATGAATGAGGAGGAGGAACGCGCTACACGAAATCCGGAAACTGAGTACCGGCAACCCGATACGCGGACCTTTTCACGGAGCGGAGCGATGAGATTTTCCGTATTTACGTAATCGATGCCACTCCCACAATAGGCGAACGCGCCGGAAGACGCTCGAAGAGGCCACTACAACGTCCAAGCCCAAATTGCACAAGGGACGGTCAAGCGGATTCGACATGTAGGTTGAGTAATATTATATTTGTTAATTGTGAAACACAATACCCTGCCGGGCGGCTCGTCCGCTGGATTTCACCTGTATCTACGCGTGGGAAATCGGTCCCGAGGGTGGCTGCACTCCTCGGCCATGCGCCTCAAGATCGTAGATACTGTCGTATTCCGTCGCGGACGAGATCATTTAATGCGACTCGAAATCACTTAGCATGGCGAAAGGCTTACGATGGATATTGATCTCACGGAAAGAATGCAGGAGTGGGTGAAAAAGAAAATATAAGAACCGAAAAAATATTCTTTAGATGTTTTTATCTTCAGTATATAAATGTGTTTATTGTGTAATGACGTATCGTAACCGGATAAACGTACGTTGAATCACGATAAACGAAAATCTGAGTTAAAATCGTATTATTATATGTAATTACATTTCCCAGAAATTGAAATAATTAATGTAGTTTATTTAATATTATAATCATAATTGCATAAACATACTCACTAAAATAAATTGCATCTGCACGATATAATCTAAAGGTCGTGATGGAAAAAGATATAATAGCGAGGGCACTCTTTGCAACGCGCGAGCGGTACAGAAGGGAATTACGTTTTGAAAATTATCGGAAAGAGCGCCCGTGAATGGCCCCTGTCCATCTCGAGCGCTAATCCGCCTAATTTCTTCCCCCGGTGTCTAGATAGTATTTCATCTTCGGCAAATCCCCCGAACAGGTAAAAATAGGGGTGAACCGCGGTAGGGGATGTTCCCACGCTTCGGGTTGCAAAACACCGATCGGGGCATGAGTGATGCGCCGCGGGCATGTTATTTTCGTGGAAACTCTTGCGTGCAGACGTCACTCATATCCGGTCGTGGACCAACCACTGTATTAAACGCTCTGGAAATCCTATTACTATATAATTTATCAGCGCGTGCTTCACACACGCAAAAACATCATTCGACGCAAACATTCGACGCTTCCACAACAGGAGGCACGAAACAAACGCGTTATGTAGTTCTTCGATGTAGATATATTATTACGTCATCTTCGAGCGGAAGAAATTTTCTGAAAAACGAGAAAATAAGGATTTCTCCTAATGTCGATTTTAATTATTTGTCATTTAAGAAGTGACTTTTATATCAGGATTATTTTTAAATCCTTTAAAAACGTGTTACTGAAATATAGATTTTAATCATTTGTAATTTTCGAGAATCACAAGTGACTTGAAAATTGTCATATTGAAATTTCCGTTTATAAATTCCGGAATGAGTTACTGAAGTATCGTATAATATTTTTGGGGGAGACCGATCTTCCGTTTATAAATATTTAATATATCTTTCACACGAAGGGATATCGTGCTTTTCCCACGTGCACGGTTATTCGTGTGTAAGAAGAACGCCTAACTTCTGTATTCCACGGCGATTCATCTCGGTCATCCCCTATTCTGACGCGGGAGGCAATAACAGTCTGGCGCAACCCTTTTCAGCGGGTCAGCCCTGCATCAGAGACATGCATAGTCTCTTATGTAAACGGCTATTCAAATATCGGGGCGCATACCTGTGCAGCTTGGGAACCCGGCGAGTCCTTTGAAAAAAGATGCAATTTTGAGAGGAAGGGCAACGATCGTTTACCGGATTTCATCCGCGCGCGTATCTGCGATCCGTGGGATCACCTCTTTCCACGTACACTCGACCAGTTTGCGTTATTCCACGGATCTGAATGAGCACCGTACCGTGGGAGTCGGAGTTACCGTTTCGGAAAATCTCGTAATATCCTATTCAGATTTTCGCAACCGTTTCACCTGCGCAGGGTGACACGTCGCGGATAGATTATTCGAGTGTGGGAATGCCAGATATTTCACGTTTCATCATGACTTTCCTTTACGTCGACTTACGGGGACTGTCTCCGCTCGCTTTTCAATATTACGAAAGAAAAGCGCATCATCACCGAAGATGCCACCTACTCGAATAGAAGTGTCGAGTCAGAAGCTAGCAGATATGTAACATAATCGATAATTCCGATAATCGTCGCTACCAATGCATAGGAGCCGGAAGTGCTTAATTTTCTTCTCGAGGCCTCTATTTGTTTTCCGCTTTTTACTGCCGGCTGAGAGTCTTGTCACGGCGCTGCGGAGACGACGAGAGAAATCGACTACCCCGAACGGTCAGAGCGACACACTCCCTTTTTAAAAATAGAACGGCTCCAAATGCGCGACGCAAAGTTTCACACGCAGCGTCACATGATGCCGAACCTGCGCTCTTGCTTCCACCCTCTCACGTTCATCCGGTCATTTTCCGTCCCGTCCGCTAAGGGGATGCGAGTCCTCTTCGGAGAATCGCGATATGTAAATACATGAAACACTATCCACAAACGTTCAATGAAAAATCTCTTCCTCATATGTCTTTTTTAACCAGTTAAGTGTGTTTGACCACTATATCCGTCATGCGTAAAATTTTGTTACAATTTGATATTTAAGTTCTGGCGAAAACTAAATTATATTCGTAAATTTTAATATGGGTAAAATGTTTAGAGGTCAAGACGAAATAAAACAAACAAATGAAAATTATAAATAATTTGAGTTGGATTTATAACTTCCTGAGAGCTAACTCGCTTGATTATCGCGACACACACTGGTGGGCGCTTTGCAAAGAGATCGCCACAGTTAACTGGTTGAGGATCGTCGCGATTAAGGGGGGGACGTTTCTCATGGTAGGTGATTTTTAGAAATTCTTTTTGAAAAAAACCATAAGACGTACAATTCGTTTATATTATCTTCAATATTAAGCAAGTTATAAATAATTTTGTTAGCGAAAAGTTGACGATTTTGCAATCAAAACGGCAGAAAAATGTTTTCGAACCATGGTTGTCGCTCCTACCGCGATGAAGTAAATATCTTGAATATTTAGATACTCCTTTAATGCGTTCGGAGGTATCTCGATACTTTGTTGAAAATGTCTAAAATATCGAGTTTTCGCAACAAACAAAAGCCCGGTGATTCATCGATCGATGTTAGATCAAACGAAAACCGACGACGGACCGGCTATCAGTGTTCGCGCCGACCGGCGTATGTTGCGCAATTATCACCTTCCTTCTATTTTTGCACGGTGAAGAATTTTTACAGTCGTAATAGGAGGATCGGTAGATTCGAGCTGGCCGAGAGCTCGAGACGCGCACACACTGGAAGGGACAAACCACATCTCGCCCTAAGCAAACACCCCGGCAGGGCTCGCGCGGTGCATTATGCAACCTGATGTAACCGCGCTGTGGATCTTTCCATCTAGTTTTTCCATCTAGAAGTAGTTGCTCGCCCCTCAACGGCGTCT